CTTGTTTCGGTGCCAGCCACAGGCCCTGCTCCCTCGGGTGAGTCCCCTGTGCTGAGCCCCAGGCCCCCCCAGACCCCAGGGCTGCTCTCCCCACAGATCAAGTACAAGATCACAGGCCGGCGGGAGGGAGACGTGGCCTCCTGTTATGCCAACCCGGGGCTGGCTGAGCAGGAGCTGGGCTGGAAAGCTGCCTTTGGCCTGGACAAGATGTGTAAGAGCCCCACCCCTGCCCAGGACTCCCTGTGCTGTCCTTCTCCTGGCCCACCCCTCACCACCCCCCCTCCCTGTTGCAGGTGAGGACCTGTGGCGGTGGCAGCTGCAGAACCCCACGGGCTTCAGCAAGAACTGAGCTGTGGCCCAAGGGCTGGCTGGGCTACCATGGGCTGCCCTGGGCTACCTCGGGCCAGCCCTGTGTGCCCCCCTGCCAAGCTGGGATTGTCCTGGGTGCAGTTCCAGCTCCCCCCCTGCCTCTTGCGGGGGGTGGGAAGGCAGGAGCAGCTTCAGCCTCTCTACTCCTCATCCCCAGTAGGTCCTTTGCATCTCATGGAGTGGAAACACGAGGTTCCTGCTCCCAAGGGGAAGCTGGGGCACCCACAGCCCCTGCCCCAGCACAGACAGGGCTGCTGAGCCCCTGTCTCAAGGCCCCTTAAAGCCTCCAGACCCCCCATTCCCACAGGGACCAGGCCAAGGCTCATTCCCTGATGGCTGCTGGGGCTGTTCCCCTCTTTCTTTTCCCCTGCTCCCCCAGTGGGGTTTTGGGGACTCAGCCTCATCTCCCACCTGCTCCTAGGCCAGAGGAGCCCCTGCAGCCCCTCCACTGGAGTTAGACATGGTGCCTGGTTTTATTTCCACGTTGCCTGTGGCAGCAATTTCCTTAATCATGTTGCCAGAAGCTGCCCAGGAGGAGACAGCCCAGCTCTCAAACACTGGTCCTATTTATTCCTGGCAGCTCCAGCAGCTCGGTGAGGCAGGGATGCTGCAGCCAGCCCTGGCTGCTGCCACTTGCCTTCATAACTTATGCTACTAAATTATGAATTGAGCTTTTGATTTGAATTATTTTTAAAATAAACCTTCTTACTTTCTCAGTGGCAGCTCTGTTCTGCTGCCCCCAGAAACAGCACCCTGGGGTGCCTCCCTCCCCTCACCCCACCCCAGACTCAGGGAGGTGCTGATGGTGCCTCCTGCCCAGCCAGGAATGATGCCAGCTCAGCTCTGGGAGAGGTTTATGATTTATTTAATCTTGTTTCTGACTCCGTGGAACACACACACAAAAATAAAAACCCCAAACATTTACAAGGAAGACAAAAGAGAGAGAAGGAAAAAAAAAAAAAGAGAAAAAAGAAGAAAAACAAAACCCAAAAAGCTGTCATTGAGGAATGGAGAGAAGCTGTTCTCCCTCCCGGGCCCACAGCACAGCAGGGAGTGAGCAGGAAT